CTTCGGAGAGCCTCCGCGGGAGGCAGTCTTCTGATCATCCCAGGATGAGCCACCTGGGTTCGCCGACTTGGAGCCCTCTGGCCCTTTGACGATCGGCTCACGCTCGCCTGAGACCTCCTCATCATTACTCGCATTCTGACGGGGGTCGTGGCGACTCGGTGTGGCGTGTGGCCGTGATATTGCCGGCGAACTGGTCGCTGCTGGTGTAGATGCAGTAGGCTCTGATATCGGTAATATCGGCTGGGATGATGTTGAAGATGTTCTCGGCTGCTTCTCGCCTGGAGGTGATAGTATCGTAGATGTATCCAACCTCTTCTGACCTGTCGTAGCTCGTGGTGGTGAGGATGGTACCGCAGGCGGAACAGGAGCAACCCTTGGAGCGGCGACTTGTGGTACTGGAATGTCCTTTGGCCTTACAGGTCGCTCATCAGCTTCAGGTAGTTGAATACGAACGCGAGTGCGAGACCTATCTTGACCTTCTCCAGATGAGGCTGAACTCGACTCTGCGTCTGTCTGCTCCTGTGCCATTGGCGATGCTATCGGGGTCTCGGAGATTGCTAATTTCCTCGGTGTCCCAGCAAGAGGTGTCATAGGTAATGGCACGGTCGGCGTAGCTGGAAGTTGTAGTCCTGGAGGAGGTGCCAGCGGAAATGGAAAGATAGGCGCTGCTGGAACCTGAGCTGAGTGTGAAGGCGGTGCCTGCCAGGTCGCCGGTGCTGGAGGGACCACCACTGGTACTGCTGGTGGCGCAGGAGGTGCCGGTGGTGCCGGCGGGCGTCCTGCTGCAACCTCTGATGTCTGCGTCATTGGGCTGTCATTCGTCATGCTGACCTCTGGCGGCTGCATGCTGACCTTCGGCGGTTGTGAAGGTACTGCTGGTTTTGGCCGTGGTGGTGATGGCGGTCTCCTCGGCTGGTCTGGCGGCGTCTGATAATCAGGCGCAGGCGGTATCGTAGATGGTGTCCCATCTGACCAAGGCCACGGTGAGGGCTGCCACATCATCTTGCTCTTTGGGCCCACGACGTCGTCCAGGTCTGGGGTGTGTTCGTAAGAGTCATTCTGCTCGTCCTGAACTTTGAAGAAGTAGAACAGCACATATGATGACTCAGACCATGGACCATGAGATGCCAAGGTGATGGCATTGACCGTCGCAAACTGCTTCACCACATAGTTGGATCGGACACTTCGATTCCACAAAACCAGGATGCATCGTCTTGCTGCAGGCACTGCCGTCGTACGCTTGCACTGAGTGCCCACCTGAATACCACCAAGGTCTGATTCGAGAAACGTAGTGTTGGCCACCTGCTTGGCGACCTTGTAGATCTGCGGCTCGTTCTCATAGAGGTCTGGGGGTACAATGGTGTAGCGCCCTTCTGCCTCATTGAAGAACTTGCCGAAGATAAGCGGAGCGTTTGGTACCAGCTGCTCGACCAAACTCATAAGCTCAAAGACCAGTCGTGACTTGTCTTGGTCCGTCTTGTACTCCGTGTGTGCGTCTCCTTGTGTCAGCAGCCAAGTGAAACCCACATGAGGTCGTATATGTCGTAGTGGTACCAGCATCGGATATCCACGCCATGAAACAATCGCCTTGTTCTCGGGCATGTAGTTCTTGATGAGATCTGCTGGTCCTCTCCATCCAGGGTCGTCTTTGGTCTCAGGCTCTCTCCACAAGTCCACCTTGGAGCCGTCCACCAACTTGGCTGCGTCCGCTGCGGTATGTTGCTGAACTCGTGTGTTGTGAGCCTTCGCGATCCTGTCTTCCACGATCGCGGCACTGATGGCGTCCTTGGCGGCCATCCTGAGTCTGATGGAGGTCTCCACTGCATCAGGCACACTCTCGAGGATACCCAGCTGCGCGACGAGGCCTGGGTTCTCATGATCATAGAGCTCTCGTGGTTGAACTCCAGTAAGTGCCGCTGCGGGAGTAGATCCGCCATAAGAAAGAGACAGGTTAGTAGTCATGCAACATTCCTCGACGCAACGCTCTTTGCTGACATTCCATCCTTGCTTTTGTGCTGTAACCCACAACTTCATACTGCCAATACGTAGTATCTGGATTCGCCTCTCACACTTGGGCGCTGCAGTGTGTCCCTGACTTCCGCCAAGGTCTCTGTTGATCGAGAAATGCTCGCACGCCTTGGAGACCAGATCTGAGATGACCGCTCCTTCTTGATCTGAAACGAGCCACCACATAGGTCCAACATATTTTATCCAGAGGTGGAAAGCGGTGTTCATCCAACAATCTGCAGTCTTGTGATCGAGCCTTGTCGTGAGGGCGTAGCTGATGCATTCATCAACAAAGACCACGAACGTCATATCCCAGATAAACCAAAGGTCTGTCTGCACGCGGAAGTTAAAGTGAGGGCTCATCGTAACTCCATGTTGAGGTCGTGTCGGATGTCGGCGCCAGTCCATACAATCCTTGCACATCTTAGGGATGACCTGGAATACCAGGGTAAGAACCTCCGTGCCGAAACCTCCTCGCCGAAGAAACCGAATCATATCATCACGTGGAGCATGCCAGAACTTGATATGGAGGCCAAGAATGATCTTCTGCTTCTCGGTGGTGCTGATAGAAGGGTCGTTCAGCTTGCCACGAATCTTGGCGAAGTCGAAGCTCGGTTCGATGTAGTCCGGCAGCTCAACTACCTTCGGGTCTTCGTGGGGTTCCAGTGTCCTTGGATCTGTTTTCCGTTTTAAGACCTTCCTGGGAGGTCGCGATTCTGGAGGTGCAGGAGGAGGTACAGGAGGAGGATCTGAGGTGCCTGCATCGTCATCTGCATCTTCTGGTAGTATTGGTTGATCATCACCCGCACCGTCTGGTTCCGGCGCTGGAGCTGGCGGCTCAGCAAGTACTGGGCCTGCTGGTGGTGCTGGGTGTGCTGCTGCTGCTGCTGGTGCTGCTGCTGCTGGTGCTGGAACTCCTCCTGGTGGGACAGTTGATGATCCACCAGCTCGAAGAGGATCGAAACGACAGCCTTTGACCTTTGTGTGCGGCAGCGTGTCCACCTGTTGGCCGTCGGGACCGACCTTCTTAGCTCCATGCTTGCACCGTTCGCATGTCCAGCCAACAAAGTGAGACTGGCTCCTGCCGAAACGCTGAACGTTCGAGCCGATGTTGTGCTGCACCGTGTCATTGCCGATGTGTGTAGCAACGTCCATGAGCAGGGCCAAGCAGAACAACCACGGATATACTGCCGAAAGTGCTGTGCGGTGGATAGATCCAACTCTGCCCTGCAAGATGCCGTGGTCCTTGCACTTGTTCTCGCCTTTGCACTGTCGTACTGAATGTCGGAGTTGAATGCCAGTCGCCAAGAGAGCCGTTGCCTTCTGTGTAGGTAGGCCCGTCTCGTCGATCGCGCCAAACTGACATTGATCAGTGTGATACCTTTTGTTGTCGCCCAGGGTGAACGATGGTGACTCGGTAACCTTCTTGAGCGGGCTCTTGCTGAATATCGAGGAGGACCGAGGGTTCTCGGCGATAGGTGCCTCATCCCGCTCCTGGTCGTCGTCCATATGCTGAGCTACCCAGTCCAAAGTCGATCCTTCTGCTTGTCGGGCTTTGTCGCGTTTATCTGGAGGTGATCGATTTGACTGAACAGACCAGGGTGCACATCGTGGGGACCAGTAGTGAACACGGACACCTAGTTCTTGTTTGCACTGATCCAGTAGGCGTCGATGCTCAGGCTGCTTCAAGCCCCATCCATATCTGTAGTCCACGGGGAAGGCGATCTTGAGACCCACAGCTGCTCCGGCTGCCGAGAGGCGGCCAGATCCACTCATACCTTCTTGCAGGCAAAGAGGGGCACCGTGAAGATAGCGCTTCATGACAGTCGTCCACTGACGAACGTTGTCCGGCGTGATAACCACACAGCCTGTGAAAGTGTAGAATTCTTCTGGCATTGCACGATATTCATGAGCTAGTCGCTTTGAGTGCTCTTCCATATGTCGAGGCCAGTGATCACCTTCATAAACAGAACCTTCGGTCATGTTCCAAGCCTTGAAGTAGTCCAGGTCATGGTGCTTCGTGAATTTGCTGAATGAGGGCCAAATCGCATGTCGGTGTCCATTGCACGTTGATCTCTGGTGTCTTAAGGGGTGCCGAGGGACTGCGAGTTGGCTTAGTACTGCTTCCCGTTCTCGAGGCCTGTCCATGGAGCTGAATGGATGCTTTGTCTTCGGTAACTCGATGACCGAAGATGTTGCGACAATAGTTCCGAACTGCATCCTTCAGCATATCTTCTTCAACATTGGCTTGACCGAACTTCCCGATGGGTAAGAGGTAGTGACCACTGTCAGTGAGAAAAACGCGAATGAAATATGCCTTCTTCTTGCCATTCGGGACAGAAACGTTCAAGACCAGAACTCCATCATGATTGTCAAGAATGTCGCAGAAGAGGGCGGCCGAGTACTGCAACAAGGATGAGTTGGGAAGTAACCCAGGACACTTGGAGCCAGTAACACCCATCAGATCTGCCTTGAACGTAATATCACTGCATCCAGGAACTCCGATCGGCATCGTCGCAACTGCCAGTCCAGGGTCTGACTGGCCGTCGATGCCTGAGAAGGTGCTGGTGCTGGGCTCGAGCTCGTACTGAAGACCTGCGCTCTTCAAGTGTTGCTTGACAAAGTCCTTCATCGTGTCCGTGCCCATGATGCCAGCTGCGGCTCCTGGATCCACGATAAGACCTGCCACTTCCTTGCCACGAACAGTGTGCATCGTGCTGAAATCTTGAGCGGGGCCGTCCGTTGTCATGAAGATGCCGCGTTTGATCTGACCATAGCCGATGCCATTGTCCATGGGAGTGTTGCCGTCGATGGTCTCCTCGACTTCCGGCGGCGGCCTGAAGCGTTGAGGATCTCCTTCGTCATCATCATTATCTGCTTCAGGTGGTGGCCGGAAGCGGTGAGGATTGCCATCATCGTCATCATCATCTCGTGAAAACTTCAACGGCGTCATCGGAGGTAGTTCCGTCTGGATGGCTGGGGTCTTCGGGAGA